AGGCTGCTGGACAAAATTATCTGCCTCTTCTTTCATGGCCTTTGTCATGCTGGGATGTGACATCTGAAACCAGAACAGCAATCTGTGGCTGCAGGAAACTAGCCTAAGGACAAAGGTGTCATGCTAAGCACACATGGGACGACCCTGGATTCTCAGTGAGGTCCTATCGTGTGACAGGGTTATTTTCTTTTTTGCTGTTTTGTGCCGGGCATGTGTTCCTTGCACCCTAAAGCACACCAACAAATACAAATGGGTGTGTAGCCAAAAGCATAGGGGGGTGGGATTCCAAAAGCCCATCCCAAAGCTCAGAGACAGGATGCATCAAGCCGCCCACAGGGCCCCCCCACTCCAGTGAGCTCAAGATGCCCCCGGGAGGGGAGAGGGACAGAGGGATGTATGCGTGTGGCAGTGCTGCCCAAAGTGATCCTGAACCCTCTGAGCCAGCCTGAGTCTGGTCAGAGAGCTGCAGAGAAGACCCTCCACAGGTTTGGGGCATCTGAGATTCAGAGGGGTCAATTCTCTCTTACTGGGCAGATTCCCCAGGGAAGTGACTGAGACCCCAGGGAAGAAATGGCCACATGGTGCATCCAGGCAGACAGGGCCAGGCTCTGACAGCCCTCCAGGGACACAGGTGTGTGTATGGGGGACCTGGGCACCCCAAGAGGGATGAGGACCAAGAGGCTGTGTGGGGCTGAGCAGAGTTCCACAGGAATCTGAGCCACTGGAGCACATGGCATGTGGACACCAAGTACTGCATGCTGCATGGGCGAGCACAGCAGATGACAGTGGACCCTGGGTACCAAGTGGCCTCTTCTGCAGCCTGGGAGGGGCACTCAGATACAGCCACAGAGAAATGGGGGGAGAAGAGCCCCAGCTGGACAAAATCACATTTCTTCCATCAGCACAAGCGCCTAACAGAAATGAAATTTAATGTGTGTCTGAGTGTGTGACATTAACTCATTCTCTCAGAAATGACTAGCACTCAGCCACTGAAGGTCAGCCACCCACAGGGACATGGGGTGGACACCTGCTCCACTTCATCCTGCTGCTGACCTGCGGAGGGTCACCTGTATCATCCACGTGTCTGGTCCTCCAGTGACTATTGTCCTGACCCCCTCCTTCCTGCCACCCTGGTCCTGGCTCCATCCTCCTGGGCTCAGAAGCCAGCTGCCCTCAAGCCACGTGGCTCAGCCCAGCAAACTCTTGACTCTTGTACTGGAAATCGCTCCTTCCTCTTTGGCTTCCACTGCCGCTGCAGGCTCCCGCTCCCCCTGCTCAGCCCCATTCTTAATGTTCTCCACATCTGTTTCTGTTCCTGGCCAGTCCTGCCTATGTGTCTCCCCATCCTGCAGATGCACACGTGGCTGCATATGGCTGCGGTGAGGGGCCTGCTGGGTGGAGTTGGGCAGGAGGAGAGGGAGGGCTTCAGGACTTCCTCCCCTGCCAAGCACTTCTTGCTGCCCACCACTCCGTCCCCAGAGCTCAGCAAAATCATTCATCAAACAAGCAAGTGCCCCTCAGGCATCAACATCTGTCTGGCCCACTAATGCACAGAAACACACTCCATCCTTCATTACAGCCAAACCAAGGTTCACACTGAGGGAGTGGCCAGCCCAGGTCAGACTCTAGGGAACACAAATGGTGTGCTCAGAGCTGGGCACGAGCTAGAGAAGCCAGAGTCTGGCTGCAGAGTCCACGCATTCTAGAGCAGGAACTCTCACAGCTACTCTGAAACTTCTCTAGCCCCCATCACCTGCACTTTGTATTTTCTGGGACAATCAGCACTAATTTCATTTTCTGCCCCAAAGGCTCTGATTTGGGGTTCCAAAAATATAGTCACTCGTACAGTGTTCCTCAATGGATAAAAGTCCTCATGGGATAAGAGGGACGGGCTTTTGAATTTGATATGGGGATTTGCAAAGGCCAAATCACCCAGCAACCTTCAGTCCTCCAGCCAAACAAGTGACTCTCCCTAGCAGAGCCAGTATGGTAGGCCACCTCAAACACCCAGGCCTATCCCCTCCCAATGACGGAGAAAAATCTTGCAGGAATAGAGAGCCGGCTGGTCCCCACACTCAGCTGCCCTCCTCTCTCCCCTCTGCTACCAAATCTCACCTCCCCAGATGGTAACATTCTCTCTCTCTTTCTCTCTCTCTCCAAAAATGAACCTAACACATTTCTCTCCACTGCCTAGAGCACAGACTGCCGCAGTATGTCACCTCCACTTTCCCTGGCTCCTTGCCAGAACCCCACATGCTTGCCTGTCAGAAGAACCTGCATCACTCAGCTCCTACACCCACCAGGGCTAAGCTACCAAGTGGGGAACTAGGGCCCAGCACAAAAACTGGCCCCAACATCCCACAGGCACCTCTGAAACTTGGCTGGAAGGAGGAAGAATATGCAGTGGTCAGACAGGACAGGGTGGGTGCGGGGATCCTGGTCTCGGTGCCCTAAACTAACATGGTCTGGAAATTTCTGTAACTTTGACTTCGGGCACAGGTGATTGGCAAGAAGTTCCAAGAGCTTTGCTGCCGTGCAGATCAGCCAGCCAGCCTACTGCTAATCCCAGGACAAGGGCTCCTGGTGGCCCTAGTGGCCTTCTCTACCAGGGCTAGCCAAAGCATGCTGTGAGATCACCCCCCTGGTGGCCTCTGAGAGTAGAGTGTCTTGGGAGCTTGCTGCGGATCATGAAGGGATGGGCAGGAGGCCCAGATGGGCTCCAAAGAAACAGAGACTGTCTACTGCAGCTGGGCCAGGCTGAGTCCTGGGGGCAGATGGTGGGCTCCTTTCAGCATGCTTCTGCCGCATGGCACAATGGTGACACCACAGGGCAAGAAGCCTCCATGCAGCACTGAGGGGAATGGATGCAGTTCACTGTGACTGAAGGTGAGTGGCCGCCATGGTGGTTGAGATGATCATTCCTGTCCAACACCTTCTGTAACACACAGGGCGTGTTTTCCTGTGGCTGTCTTGTAAATATTCAACACAGAACACAGACAGAGGCCCCAGCAAGGGACTGTGGTTTGTGTGGCACTTTTGAGTGGCTGGCTAGAACATGAACCCCTTGATTGGTCCCGGGTGAGCTGACGCATTGTGCGTCCAGCGCAGGAAGACACATGACAGGTGCTCAACAGATCCTGGCTCAAAGATGGATGTGGCACCTGCTAGGCAATCTCCCTCTAATCCTGGGGTCATTTATCATCGTCCCATGTTATAGACGAGGAAACTGAGGCCCAGGGACTTAGGTGGGCCCAGTAACTCCAGAGCACCAGCTGCATGTGTAAACAGGGGCTGGTTTCTTTGTGGGCAGAAGAGCACAGAGTGAAGGCCTAGGCTATGCCCAGTCTCTCTGGAGCCTTGGATCCAGCCCCAGCAAGACCAGGGGCAGCTGCTCTCCAAGGTGGGCCAAGGATGCAGGACAGAAAGAACAAGCCAGAATTGCCAAGAGGACACAGCATCCTTTAATTGCATGGACAAGCAGGGCAGGGTGCAGTCAGGCTGAGGGTGGTTCTATAGCACCGGACTTCATGGCACATGGCATGCCCTGCTCACATCACCCAGCCATATTGACTGGCTCCCTTGACTGTGAGCACCAGAGACTACTCCCAGCACCACCTCTGCCTGAGTCTGCATAAGCACCAATAGGCAAGAGGCTGCCTCCCTCTGGGGAGGTGGGGCCATCTGGGGTGGGGGAAGAGGGCTGAGGGGCTGCCAGGCCACAAGCCCTGGGGAAGGGAGGACAGGGCCTGATGCCCCTGCTTCCCCTTGGTCTCTCCCAGGGGCTGTCTTGGCAGCATAGCTCAGAGGAAGCCCTAGATAACCTGAATGTAGCCTGCTTCAGTCCCCAGACCTGCTGAGGGCTCTGAAGCCTGTGCCTCCATCCTGGCCTACTGCCCGCAGCTTTTACAAGGGCAGCCTAGGCCAGAGAGGCCGTGCAGCGGGAGCTACCTCCCAGGCCTTAGCACCTTCAGCCTGGCAAGTCAGGCTGGCGAGAGGGGCCAGAAGGGCCCAAGAGCACCTGGGGACAGATCAACATCTAATAGTGGCTGGAAGTCCTGGGGAATAGGCTCAGACCCTTTAAGCAAGATGAGCCCTGGAGAGGCAGGGAGAGGTGCAGGAAGAGGGGCAGGAGTCCTGAGGGTCACCTTATCAGCTGCGTGGGGGACTGAGAGTCTGGGCTCCACCAAAGGTCCCTTTGTCCCCAAGTGCCCCCAAAGTCTTGGGTCCTCTCCTCACAGGACCCTTGACCTGGCCAAGGCCCCTCTAGGATTTGTTTAATGATGGGCAAGAGTGGGAGGGTAGAGAATGGGAAGGGAGCACCAACTGCCACCTCAGAGACCCTGCGTCACCCAGGAGCAACGGGGAAGGAGGGACCCCCCAGGGCCTGAACACCCAGAACACAGACCTGAGTGAGGAGTGTCTGTGCCTTCTGTGGTTAACCTCAAGTCTTTTGCGTGCCCACTGGCGCCTGCCTCATCTCTACCCAGGCTGGACTAGACACCTGCCAAGGGTGGGCTGCCAAGGGTGGGCACAGGGCCTGTGTCTGATTCACCTCAGCTTTCCTAGGCCCTAGCACCAAGTGGACACTCAGTGTTTGATGAATGAATAGATGAACAGTGGCTGTAGTGGGGGTGAAGAGGAGAGAGCTCAAGAAAACAAAGGAGGGGGTTCCTAGAGTGAAAAGAGAATCTGAGGATGTTGGGAAAATCCCAGAATACGTGATAGATTCCAGGATGTTCCAGAATATTAGGAAAGTTCTAGAACCTGATTACTCAAATGCGCTCCCTAGAGCAGCAGCGTCTGCATCGCCCAGGAACCTGTTAGGAACCAGAACCCTGGGCCACTCCAGCTTGCGACTGCACCTTAACAAGGTCCCAGGCTGAACAGGCTCCTTCGGGTGTGAGAGGCGCGGGGCTAGAGGCTGGGGACATTCTAGAATATTCAGGTCAGAAAGACTGGGGCGGGGTGGGGGGCAGAAATGGACTGGAAGGGACGATTAGGAATGAAGAGGGGCTCCCCACTCCCCAGAGGAGGCAACCCAGCCCCGTGGGTGGACAGGACCTGCCCACGGCCACCAGCACCCGAGCTGCCCTGCTGGGTGACCAGGGGCTGCTCAGTCGTCCTCTGGCTTGATGAGGTGGCCGCTGAAGGTGATGTAGGTGTCCACGTCGTCGCTGTACACGGCATTCTCCCGCTCGCGCCTGAACAGCCGGACCCAGACGCGGTGGCCGGGCGCCAGGGCCAGCATCACACTCTGACTCTGCATGATGCTGCGGCCACTGGGCTGGGCGTACAGGATGACGGCCGCCTCGTCGTTGTGCACCACGTGCACGTAGGTCTCCTTGAAGTTCCAGCTGTGCACGTTGAGGCTGAAGAAGTACAGGCCACGCAGAGGGGCGACAAAGTGACCAGCAGCCATATCAAAGTGCCCGTCCGGGTTCACGAAGACCGTGTCGAAGATGAGCGGCTGGAAGTCCTCGCTGCTGTGCAGCGCCGTCTTGCGGCCCACAGAGAAGGCCGAGAAGCGTGTCTGGCACGGGCCACCGGGGCTGCCCGCCTGCCCCTTGGCGCCCTTGGTGCCCTGAGGGCCACGGTCTCCTCGGGGACCCTCCTTGCCCGGCTTCCCTGGTATACCCAGTGGGCCTCGGTCCCCCTTGTCACCTGTGGGGACGTGAAGGGGAGAAGATAGACACCTGAGGCCCAGAGGAGTTGGCATTTATTGAGCACCTACTGCATGCCAGACATCACTTCCCCAAATGTCCCTCAGCAGAAGAGACCAGGACCATCTTCAGGACTCAAAATGTGGCCTGTCCCCAGCCCAGCCTGCTTCCTCTGAACCCAACAGGGAGGATGTGACCAAAGTCTCTGGGGGGCCAGGCCCTATATAGGCACAGCAGGATGCATTTTGCCCATCTGACCCAAGAACGAACCAAGAAAACCACCTTTGCCCACCCGAAGGGGCAGGTCTGGGTCAGGAGCCAGCTGGGTCAGGCCAGCCAGGTGGTGGTGTCACTGTTCCCACAGGACCTGGGTTTTTTGTGGCTAGGGTCTTGGTTTTCTGGTGGTGCCTTGAGGTCAGTGCCTACCACACAGATGTGTCTGTGAGTCTGCCACACAAGGTACAGAGGAAGGCACCTGACAGACCCCGTGAGGAGGCGGTATCACTGCCCCACATAGTCAGACACATCGCTATCTGCCTGGGTCTGGCAGCCTCTAACTTAGTCATACCTCTCAGCCCTTGCTCCAGGCTAACTTTGAACATAGCCAAGCAGGTGACCTCCTATGTCCAGAAGGACCTGACCCCCTGAATTTCCCTGCTGCTGAGCCACTGTCTGCAGCCACCCTGTGGAGTGAGCTAGAAGCCCTGTCCTTCCCCGGGTCTCTTTGACCTTGGCAGGGGAGGGACAGGATGGGGGTGCAGAACCTGAAAGGAGAAGTCTGGAGAGAAGAGGAAGGCAGATCCACAGCTCTGCTGAGGCCTGGTTACAGCCTCCTCCTCACAGGAACAGTCCGCGTGTAGTACACTTCACAGTTTGCAAAGTACCTGCTCTGTCCAGCCCAAGGGAGGTCTGAAGAGTGGCCACGAGGAGGGGCTACCCTTCTTCTACACTCAATGTCAACAGTAACCCTGGGGTGGGGGGAGGGGATGCCAGGGAGACCAGGCGTTGAGGTGCCCATCATCACTGTACACTGTGTTCTCACCTCATCTTCGTCTTGGCCGCCAGGCACCAGGGCCAGCACCATGCTATGGTGCTGGGCTGCAGGAACAGGATGGCGCCCACTTCCCGTCGTACACCACGTGGGGCCTGGAGCCCAGTACTCTTTTTCAAAATTTCATTTTACTTTCTTTTTGTTCTGGTAGTACTAGGGTTTGAACTCCGAACCTGATGCTTGCTAGGCAGGCACTCTTCCACTTGAGCCACTCACCCCCCAGCCCTAAAGAGCTGAGGACTCTTGATGCTACCCAGCGGCCTCCAGACACAGCAGTGCAGCTGGGCTGGGGACAGTGGCATGAGGCCTGGGGACAACAGCTGGGAGGAAGGCCATCAGCATCCAGGTCCCTCCTCCTCTGCAGCTGCTAAGCAGGCCTCTTGAAGCTGAGCTGAGGTGGTGGGTGGCATAAGGGGGCAGGAAGGAAGGCCTCACCCAGGCATTCGGAATGGGGAGGGGTCACAGAGGCCAGACCACCACTAAGGGAGTGCCCTGTGGAGACCTCAGGGAAAAATCCTGCTCTGTTCTTGACAGCTATGTAGCCTCAGGAGAACTCCTCCCCCTTTGAAGACTCAGTTTCCCCACCTTCAAAGTGGGAGGGATGTTAAAGTACAGAGCTCCTGGGGTTGTGGAGAGCAAGGAGAGAGGCCAAGGATGTCAAGGGCCTGAACACAGCGGCTGCCATTCCACCCTAGTAGTAGCAGTGGTTCCCATCAAGTTACTCTTGCCTGACGCCCCTAGAGCCACCCCTGCCCAGGGCTTCTGGCTTCTGTCTCTGTCCCCTGCTGTCTGCTCTGCCCGTGACCTCATAAGGATCCACGTGAAACCTAAGTCCCATCAGGTCCCTGTTTTGCTCAACTAGAAGAGAAGCCCAGTCCAGGTGATGACGGTCTTCCCTGCTCCCTTAACAGTCCTGCCTGGGGCTTCGGACCTGCTCGGCCCCCACCTGGAAGGCTCGCACGCTGTGAGAGCAGCCTGTGCCCCATACGGCACTCCCAACACCTGCACCCTTCTTTAGCTCGGTCTGCTCATTGCTCGTGCTCCGCCTCTACCCTGGAGTGGGAGGTCCAGGGTAGGAGGCTTGTCTGGTGACTGATGGCTCATTCATGCTCCATCCTCAGTGCTCAGGGCGGTCCTGGCGCACCCTGGGCACTTGACAAACGTGAGTAGAATAAAGAGGCCAGGCTTCTCCTTGTCCTGGCTTCTCCTGCTCCACCTCCTCCCTGTCCAGCTCCAGCCCCACCCAGCCACCAGTCACGTGGGGGACTCACCCTTCAGGATGGTGATGTTGATGTATGGCCTGACCTCAGGCAGGACATAGGGGAGGCCAGACAGGGAGGCTGGGAACACATCTGCAGCATCAGCAGGGGTGAGGGAGTCCTCGGGGTCACAGCACCATCGGCAGCCTCCAGGGAGGTTGGAGGCCACAGCTTCCCCAGAAGTGGGCTCCTCGGTGGGGACCCCAAATACCATGAGAGGGAGGAGGAGCACTGCCCAGTGGAGACCCAAGGTGGCTGTCCCCATGGTGACCTAGAGTGAGGAAGGAGGGACAGAAGCTCCGTGTGCCAAAACCTGGATGGACACTGCCTCCCACAGTAAGTGCAGTCCCAACCTGACTCAGGGAGCAGGGTTGGATTCCACAGAGCAGACAAGCCTTGAGGCCACATGGGGAATAAGACCAAGGATAGGTGGCAGGGCTGGGCCTGGACACTGAGTCTCTCGGCACATATCCACTGTGGCTTCTGCTACATGGAGCCTGAGAAGCCCCTCTGGAGAGAGGCACAGAGAGCAGACGAGGGTCCTGGAGGGCTTTTGCTGGGCTGGTGAGGACAATGCCCCAGTGTGACAAAGGAGACTATGAAGGTGTCTCTCGCCCCCCCCCCCATGGGCCGGTCTGTCTGTCATGTCTCCCACACCTCTAAGGAGCACCTGCCATTGGCAGTCAGAGGAAGCGAGTGGGTACTTGGGATCAAGGCACTAGATTCTGCAGATTTACAGCCTGGAGAGGGTATGGAGGCTGAGCGCCTGCTAGGGCTCATGACCCCCGTGGTTGGGAAGTGATGCCATGAGACAGAATGCAAGGGGCCATACATTGGTGACAATATTATCACATCCTTGAGAAGTTGGGAGATGTGACCAGAGGTCATGTCTTTACAGTGACTTTATGCAGAAGAAGGCATCCGGCTGGGTGGACAAGAAGCCCCCTATGGAGGAACATGACCTGAGGGTGTGTAGGTTGACAAGGGCTAGTGTCAGCCCATCTCACCCAGTGGCCGCTTTGTGCACTCAACAACCCAACACAGCCCAACCGTATCCAAAAGCCCTCCAGGGTCAACTGTTAATCATTGGAAAGTAATCGTGTCAATCATCATATACCTGCCAATCAGCTGGCAAGGTGGTAAATTGGAAGGAAGAGGCGGGACTAGAAGGTCTGGAAATTCAAAAGACTGTGAAGATCTCTTTGTCCTGCATGCCAAGGCAGGAAGTAGCCTGGACATCAGCAAAGGTGACAGGGTTGGGGGGCCGGAAGCGTGCTCAAGCCTTTGAGGTGGTGGCAGCAGCCTGGGGGCCAAGTGCTACAGAGTTATCACAGGATCAGAAACTCCGCTTTTGAAACCAGACTGGTTTTTACACTTCTGGTGTTTCTTTGTTTATTTCCTTTTTGTTCTCCTTTAACATTTAGTTCAATTCAAAAATATTTTTCTGTGGTTAATACAGATAGAGAATGTAAAATGATTACTTTCCAAAATGCCACCTAGCTGAGCTGGCACCGAGGTAAGGCTAGGTTTTAAAAGGAACAGCTGGTTGTGATGGCTTCCCTGTAATCCTAGACAGAGGCAGAGGGGAGGCAGGAGGATCATGGGTTCAGGGCCAGCCTGGGCTACATAACAAGACCCTTACTCGAAAAACAACAAACAGAAAAAGGACAGAAGCCTATCTCCTCCCCCTGCCCTGGCCACTCTCACCCCCCCCCCCCAGGATGGGGGAGCATCTCCACAGCCACCCTCTTCCTGGAGGTGACCCTGCCCAAAATCCTCTCTGCCTACCTGTGGGGCTTCCTGGTTCTGCTCCACAAGCAATTCAGACCCTTAGAGATCAACAGACAGACAGACACACATAGACAAGACTGCAGTCCTCACCTTTTACTTGTGAGCTACAGATCTGAGCAAAACCCCCTTCTTTTTCCTTGTCATAGATGTGACTGATCCTGTGCGAAAAGCTGAGGCTTTGGAGTCAGAACTGAGAGTAATTTACAAGCTTTGTGACCTACAGCTGGTGGCTTAACCTCTCTGGGCTTCCTGCTCCTTGACACAAGATGACAATAGCTCCATCCTGCCAGGTTGCCTGGGAGGATCCCAGACAGGAAAAGTGCCTTTGCCCAGCGTGCTCTTCCTTATGCCTGTGCAGGCCAGAAGGTGGGAGCTTCTCCCAGAGGACTGGCACTGCATGGGGACATTTCTGTTTCCCACTGGCCTAGCTAATGAAAATCTGATGGGAGTCAGAAACTCAGAGACACAGATCAGGCTTGCGGGCAGGAAGCAGGAAGCAGGCTGCCTGGCTCACTGAAGCCATAATAATCACAGCTGGGATCACTGACTTGGGTTGGGGGAAGGGTGCCAACAGACACCAAGTGTGGAGGACCATGCCATCCAGCTAACTCTTCGGGCCCTGCCACCTCTCCTGGGGAGCTGAGTTCTGTTAGGAGGAAGCAGCATGACCTTTGTCATCCAGGTGGTCTGGGCCGGGCTGAGTGGTTGAGTGTCCATGCATTGGAGGGCACAGGGCACAAGCCAGAAACTGTGGAGAGCAGCCAGAGAACAGGACGGGGGTCAGAGGGAGCTGACAGGGCCCGCTGAGGTGTGTCCAGAAAAGATGAGGGAGGAGAGGAATCCCAGGCTCTGACCCCAGCCCCCTTAGCCTGGAGCAGAAGCTGAGGGGTCTCCCACCACTCACCCTGTCCTGCAGACTTGCACAGTGGCTCACGGACCCTGGGCCTCTGAGCAGCCTCCGGCTCCTTGGCCCATGTCTGCAGTAACTTGCTGGCCCGGACCCCCAGGCTGAGCTGCGCCAGGAGGGAGGAGGGATGGAGGAGGGCGGGCTGAGGGACGCTGAGCTGGCTTCCCATTTCCCTCCTCCTGCTCCCTCCCTCCAGGGCTCACAGAGATAAAGGGAGCTGGGGTTTCCTCATTTAACTCTTTGGTGATCCAGTGGGGTCCTGTTGATTCAAAGTCTTGGAATTCTGAGCAAGAAGGGGTCTGAGGCCCCTTGAGATACGTGGACAGGGAAACTGAGATGGGGGGCAGGAGCCCCTAGGTTTCCCAGAAAGGGAGGCAGCACTGGAAACTCCCCCCAGCTCTTCCCAGCAGGAGCCCCAGAGCCATCTCAAGAGAGTAGTACAGGCCAGAGGGGCGGGTGTGAGGGCACAGGCTCCATTCCTGGCCCTGCCACCCATTAACCCAACTTGGCTAGGCACTGCCTCTCAAACTCCAAGTGGCTTAGGATTCAGTCCCCAACCCATCTGTGCCAGGAACGGGACAGCTCTGTCCAGGCTGGCACAGTGAATGAGCAGCATAACCTCCTCAGGTCAGGGTGAGAGGCAATCAGGTCACTCCCAGGCCCCAGCTACACCAGAGTCGTCCTCTGCACAGAACTCTGCCATTAGCAATTCAGCCTGTGGTCTCCTGGAGGCAGTGCCTCTTAGAAATGACCTCCAAGTTCACTGAGAGCAGACTGTGTGCTCTAGGTCCAGGCAGGGTCTCGCCTTGATTTCTTTCTGCACAGACTAGCCCTTGCTTTCTGGGACCAGAGACTCTGTGTACAGACAGCCTGAAATGTCCCTTACCCTCTACCACTGTCCCATTCCACATTTACTGAGTTCCTGCTGGGGCCAGGCCTGGTCTCTCTGGAGCCTTTGGGGTTTTTTGGGTTTTTTTGAAATAGGGTTTCCCTGTGTAGTCCAGACTGGCCTCCTGAGTGCTGGGATTACAGGCCTGCACCATCACGCCATTATTTTGCCTATTCCTGCACCAGTTAGGAGACAGGAAGCTAGTCAGGCAGTGAAGGGACTTGCCCAAAGTCATGCAGTAAGTGGGAAGGAACTCATATCCTGCAGAATGGCAGCACTCTCCAGCCCACCAAAGTTCCCACAATGCATGCTAGGGCAGGGGAGGCCCAGGGGTGCGGAGAACAGAGACAGACTTACATCTTGGGCTGTGCACACTAGACTCATCCCCACTCACAGCCACACACAGCATGGATAGAACAGCCTGCAGGCTCTCTGTGCTTGACCAGGGCTGTCTCTGGGCCTATTTCCTGTTGTTTGGGGACCATCAGTCAGCAGAATGGCAGGCCTGGAAAGATCCTTAAAGATGATCTAATCCCATTCCTTAATCTGACCAGCAGGGACACTGTGGCCAAGGGAAATCGACTTTGGCGCGAGGTTACAGAGCAGACTGGAGTCCGAGCTGGGAAGAAGTCAGACTCTCCTGAATTCTGGCCTTGCACTGAACCCCACCCTCCCAAGGAGACTTGGAGCCCCAAGGTCTATTCAGGGGTGGGAGGGTGTGACCCAAAGGAAAGGAGACTGAGGGACTGTGACCACTATCAGGCCCAAATGGCACATCCCTGTCCAAGTAAAATTCCCAAGGTACAGAGCCAAGGCTGCAGGGGCGGGAGCCAAGAGAAGCCACACACACCCTTCATGCAGCCACCCAGAGAAAGGGCTGAGTCAGCACTAGGGGCCATGCCAGCTGGGCTCTGCAGTCTCAGCCCCAGCAGGGTTAGAAAGCCTGAAACTGAGGAAAGGTGATGGAAAAGATGGGTGGGAAACAAGCTGGGAACCCAGCCAGGGACTCTCTACGGGGCCAGCCTACTTATCCACTCAACTGCAGAGGAGGTGAAGTCTGCGGCCTGGAACTTGCCAGTCTCCAGGGCTCCTGTGGTTCTCCCTAAGTCCAGAGCAGCTGGCAAGGGCAGAGCAGACAAGAACTCAGGAATACTATACTGCAATGCTTTTCCTCCTACTGTCTTCACCAGGCCTAAAAATTCCTCAATTTGGGTGTCACCCCTGTCTCCCAGTCATGAGGATGACCTCAGCTGGTCAGGTAGCTTGGAGACAGAGCTCTATTCTTGGGGTAAACTAGACACTTCCTTGCTGTGTGACCCTGGGCAAGTTTCCTTGCCTCTCTGGGCCAGATGGACATGAGGAAGCCAAAAAGAGCTGGTGAATGGAGTGCCCCGTTCAAGCCAGCAACAGTGCCTCTCTCTGTAAGGGGTGCCCACTCTCCTCAGCACACACCAGGATGGGAGCCCAGGATGGCCTCAACAGCCTGTGGTAAGCCCCAGCAGCCCCAATGCCTAACTCTTGTCACCAAGGCCAGAATCCCACGGGTGAGCCTGTTTCCCCAGCTACCCCCATCCTTTCCTGGCTCCCAGAAGACAGAACTTCAGGATCACTCCAGAAGTCAGCCATGTAAATTGTGAACCGCAAATCACAGACCTAAGTTCAGGGCAGTAGCCAAGTTAAAAACTTAACAAAGGTGAACGCCAGCGCCACCTGCTGGGGACAGCCAGTATGCCCGGCGCTCACCAGCCCCGGGCACCCATAGACACCACCACCACCACCACCACCACCCAGCCCCATCCCGTCTGGGGAGCTAAGGGGGCAAGGGACACAAGCCGGGAGGCTGGTTGGGGCGCCCATTCACTCACTTCTTCCTCCGATTCCTGCACTCTGCAAGAGGGAAGGGTCCCTCCCCCAAGAATCCCTTCCCCTGCACCCTCCAGCGGGGACAGCTCCAGTCCAGGCCCTACCGAGTCCCCCCACCCCACAGGCGGGCTGAGTGGCCCTGGCTGAACTTCATCGGCAGGAAAAAGGCTGCTGCTGCTACTTGTACTCTCGGCCCCCACCCAAACGGGACCATCCCCCCCACCACCACCACCAAAAAAAAAAACCGCGAGCTGAAGACGTGACTCTGCTCGAGCCTCCGGGGCCTACACCCACGAAATCCAGAGCCGGCAGGCAGGGAGGAACGCCACCGCGCGGAACCAAGGTCTTGGCCAGTGTAGAGCCAAGCAGATCCGAGTAAGTCCGAGCTTGGCCGAGCAGAGCCGATCCTGGCCGAATACAGACGTGTAGAGCCGAGTCCGGCCGAGCCTAAAGGAATAGAGCCGAGCCTGGGCAAGTGGGGAGGCGAGTGTGGCCGAATAGAATCGAATCTGGCCGAGCCCTAGCGGAGCTGCGAGGCTGCGGGGCCTGAGGTCCCGCGGCGCCCCCTGCCGGACTCAGATCTGCCCTGGCTGGGAGTCCTCGCGCCCCCAAATTCCTTAAATCTTGTGAGATTGGGATTTGGAGTTCATTTTATGGATGAGGAAACTGAGGCTCCGTGAGGTTTCGAGGCTGGCTCAAAGACACTCAAGAGTTAGGAAGTGGTAAAGCTGGGGTTCGCCTGATTGTGAAGTCAAGGGAGAGTTGGTCCTTTTCCCCATGATAGAGGCCATTTATTTATTACAGCCAGAGCGGGCAGAGCCCTCCCTTCTGGTGACCAGGCAGAAGCGGCTTGAGCTCAATGACCACGCGGTCTTACAGATGGAGGATCAGCCGACTGGGGGCTTCTGACCCAGTGTAGTAGGGGTGAGCAGTTCCCCTGAGCAAATTGTGACACATTTCCTGGCCACCAAAACAGAAAGCAGAGCTGAGAGGCATCCCTCTGTCGCTCCCCCGCAGAGCTCTGGTACACTCCACCTCCTATCCCAGGCCTCAGTTTCCCTACCTGGAACAAGATGGTAGCAGAGGACATGGGCTGGTGGGGAATGAGCCAGATAGCTGGGACCATGGAGGACACGAGTGACCCAGCACTTTCTTTGAGCCAATGAGACAGTGCAGGTGGTGCTGCACACTCAGCATTCACATACCCACCCCTACACACACCCTGCTTTGGCTGTGCCAAGGCTGCAGGGCTTGCTGGAGGATGGCTGGGCTGCTGAGAAGCAACCAAATCCCTGTGCCACCTGGGTGCCCTCTGCCTGTGGGGTCTTCCTCAGGTTGTCTGTCACCAGAGCCACCAGGTAGCTGACACCAATGGTCAAAGAGTTGTCCCAAACCCCAGAATCACTGTCCCACTATCATAATTTGTAAAAACCGTGAAGCCAAGCATGATGGTTCATGCTTGTAATCCCACTACTTGGGAGGTGGAGGCGGGAGGATTGTGAGTTCGAGGCCAGCGTGGGCTACAGTGAGTCCCTGTGTCCCTGTCAACAATCCCTCCCCTTCCTTCCCCCACCAAAAAAAAAAAACTATGGACACTGGCCTGGAGCTGGGCAAACAGTGTTCTTGCATCTGCTCCTGGAACTGTGGCCCTGGATGTGTCTCCTTCCCATCCCAGGAAGCCAACCTTCGAGCTGCTGTCAAGACCCAGAAGGTGGGTCTTGTCCACATGCCTACCCTGTGGACACTGAGTGGACTCTGACGGCTCCTGGGGGCCTTCCACCCACCCACAGATGGAGCCTTGCTTCTCCAAAGCACTTCCCATGCTTCTGTAACCCTTGCACAGTACCTGTGGGTGCCAAGCACTGTTCTAAACTGTTTACAAATATTAATTCACTTAAACCTCTGAACAACAGGGACTTTTGCTCTTCTCATCTCAGAGAGGAGGAAACAGGCACAAAGAGGCAAATCAACTGACTCAAACAGCTAGCGAATGGATGAGCTGATACTAAAACTCAGGCAGTCCTGGAGTCTGGGTGCTACACACTGGCTCTTAGTTCTGCTGTCCCTTCCTTGCTCCTAGAAGCCAGGCCTTGTCCTCTGCCCTCAGTCTTTGCAGTTGGCAGCCACCCATAAGCACTTGCTGAATGAAGGAATGAACTGGTTGATCCACCAGGTCTTCCAGGGACCCATGAGAAAAGGGGCCACTAACACTGTGTGGCAGGCAGAGAATGGTATCCTTTTGCCAGGGCTGCCTTGACAAAGTGTCACTGCTGGAGGGCTTAAACATCAGAAGTTTATTTATCGTGTCACAGTTGTGGAGGCTGGAGGTCAAGGCCTAGGGTCACCAGGGTTGTGAGGGATGTGTTGCAGACCCCTCTTCTGAGTGGGGGAGGCTGGAGGCTTGGAAGCATCACTCTGATCCTTACCCTCATGTTCATGTGACGTTGTCCTGTGCCTGTCTGCATACAAATGTCTTTTTCATAGGACACCAGTCTTATTGGATTAGAGGTCTACTCCACCCTGCTCTGGGATTACCTCCTCTCAACCACTGACATCTGCAATGACCCTCTTTCCACATAAAGTCACATTCTTAGATACCAGAGACTAGAACTTCGATATATGAATTTGGGAGGCAGGAACTAGCATCCCAGGAGGTCCTGAATGTCTCAGCCTCCGCCCCTGAATTGGGCCTCACCTCTGTCTTTCTCCCCTTCACTGATTATGTGCCTGCCCCTCTGCCTGGCCCATTTGCACTTCTCCTTCCCCACTGAGCCCAAAGCATAGTGATTACCGAGTGACTGTATGAGTGTCAAGAGACAGAAACAGTGTGCATTTGCCTCCCCTATTGCCTGGCCCAGTGTCAGGGCTTGGCATACAGTTGGTGCTCAGAAAAGCCTTTAACTAGATAAACTATATCCAGAGGGGCGAAGGAAATGCCCCAGAGCACACGGTACTCTACAGTAGAGTAAAGCCAATCAGCTTTCTTCTATGAGATTTGGTGAAGATATGAGCTCCGGGCCTTAAGTGTATCTTCCATGTCCCCTGAAGGACCTGAACTCCACAGAAGAGGCCAGAGTGCACGACAACCACACATGCTACCATCTAGACACACAGTGTATAGCAGAGGAAATGGCCCAGGTCACAGCCATTGTCCTATGTCACCATCTTTATTGACAAGAGCTAGGGGCAGAGGCAGCAAAGGATGTCCCAACCAGCCTGCTGTTTCTCCTTGCAAAACTGCTCACCTGCCCAAGGATCGGGAGGGCAGGGCTGGCCTGGGAAGGCTGCAAGGTTAGGGGGTCCCTTCTCCCTCCAACCTTCAGAACCTCCTGGGGAAACCCCAGATCAAGCCCCAGGGCTGGGCCTCCACCCAAGGTCTGGTTTTGTGAACTTCCTCCCTCTTTGAGGAACTTGAGCTCCCTCGGCCCTGCCTCCCTGACTCTTGGCCTCAGAGACCCTCCCTGCTCCTGATTCCTCATGACCTGTAGTGTCCTTACCCCAAGAGCCAACACAGAGAGGCCACTTGGTGGGGGTGGGGGTGGGGGTGGGGGGGCGCTTGATGGGGGAGAGAAAGGGGAAAGCCTCCACTTTGTAACCCACCCCCTCCCCCAGCAAATGAAGCGAGTTGGCAGCTTACCCAGCATGACCCATTTCTCTACCCAAATCTGAGCAAGCAGACGAGCTGGGGGAGCTGGGGGACCACCTCCATAATATGACGAGAACACTGAAACTCAGAGAGCAAGGCTAGCAGGGGCCTGAGGTGAGCTGAGGAGCCAGGTCTCCAAACTTTGGCTCTTGTGCTTTTCCTGAGACCCCTGCCCGTTGCAGGGTAGAGTGGGAGGATTTAGCCAGAAGTACCACCTTCCCCAGGGCCAGCCTTGCTGGGGCACCAAGGATCATCTCTGGAAGGGAGTCCCAGGCTGGGAAGCAGCTCCTCCTCCTGTAGTCCCTCAGGTCAGCTTCCCTGGCCTTCTAACCTGTGGCCCAGGACATACAGAGGAAGTGGGGGTGGCCCCTCTCCAGGTGCTCACCCTCCTAGTGTCTGTGTGGACCCAGCTCCACTCCCAGGGCCTCAGTCAAGACCAGAGCCCCCTCACCAGCACCCGGGCCTTCAAGGGGCGGGGCCTGTGCCTTTCAGAGCATTGCTTTCTCCTGATTGGTCCTTTCCTCCAGATTGGCCAGGTTGGCCATTGGCCAACCCAGTTGCATGAGTGATGTAATTGATATCAGTCCTGAGGGCCAAGGATAGCTCAAGGTCAAACATCACAACACAGAGCTGTCCTTCTCCCTTCCCTTCCTTTCTCCTTCTTCCTCCTCCTCTGCTGTCTTCCCTCTGCCTGGTGTTCCCCCCCACCTCACAGGCTGTTTTGAAACTGCCTTCCTGCTCCAGCCCTTGTGAGTTGCCTCCCTGCCTTGGACAGAAAGGAGACTGTGGAACTCTAGAGGACCTGAAGAGAGCTGCCTTGGGGACAGGGTGGCTGACCTCAACAGGGGCCAAACTAGGCCATGGGTGGCTTAAGCTTCTGCAATTTTGGGTTCTTCACTAAGAAAAGGAATACAAAATTAAAAGTACAAAATTAGATGTAGGGCCTCAGAAGAGCCCAAACAGCAAGAGACTCTGAAGCTAGACAATTCGCTTCCTGGAAAATTCACCTCTCCTAGTGTCCAGGAGCAGGGGAGGCCAGCACTGGCCATCTGGACCCAAAGGTCTGGAGGTCACTGGGCTGTGTAGCAGGTGATGCCAGAGGCCTGGGAAGAGCAGAGCTGGCCAAGACCACACAGCAGGGTGGGAAGGGCTGACCTGGCGCCTGAGCAGTCTCACCCCTCCCCAGCAAGTCAGACTTTCTGGGGCTCTGGTCATAGCCCCAGCTTTCCTGCATCTCTGACTCTGAACCCAGGAAGTCCAAGCCTTGGTTTGTCGCTGTGAGGGCCGAGATGAAGACTGGTCTCCCAAGACCTCTACTTCTGAGGGAGGGGCAAGTCTGCCCCGTCCTCTTAACCTGGGCCCTGCTCAGAAAGGTCAGTCCAGCAGCAAGACCCTCCACTCGTCTTTTCTGACAGAGCTCATCCAAGCTGATTACACCTATCACTGAGGCACAGGGAAGAAATCAACGCTCAGAGAGGGCAAGTGACCTGCCTGAGGTCTCACAGCAAATCCTAGCACAATGGGATCAGAGCCTCCAAACACCCCATCTTGGGCCTCTGACACCTCAGGCACGGAGCCCTAGGCATACCCCAGCCTCTGCCCTTCTCCAGGTCACAGGGCCTTCCACAGGTCCCTACAGATAGCTGGTGTGTGGGGTGCTGGGTTTCTCACCAGCTGAAGGCTCCTGGGGTAGAAACTGCTGCTCCTTGCCAGCCACTGCACTGGGTGGCTGCTCCTGCCCACTGGCACCAGGCTGTGCAACCTGGCTGACCCTGCCATTCATCTCCTTCCCTCTCCTCTCCTTGTCCTCCTCCCCACCCTCCTCTTCATCCTCCTCGTCCTCCTCCTCCTCTGTCTTCTCCGGAGGCCCCACGGCGGGCTCCTGGCTGTGCACACGGCGGGATGGGCGCAGCAGGACCCTGCGGAAGCCCTGCTTGAAGCGGTAGGAGAGGAAGCCATAAAGGATAGGGTTAGCGCAGCTGTTGGCGTAGGGCAACGCCACCACCAGGAAGTACAGCCCGAAGAAGGCCGGCTCCTCAGGCAGCGAGCACACCACGTTGACAATGTTGAGCACGTAGAAAGGCATCCAGCAGAGGACAAAAAGCGCCACCACGGCCACCACCATGCGGGTGACCCTGCGCTCGGAGCGCCGCCGCCGCTGGCACACGGGCGCCTGTACCCACTGGCACACAGGTGCCCGCACCCGGCGCGCGGCCGAGCGCACCTTCACCACGATGAGCAGGTAGCAGAGGCAGATGACCAGCAGTGGCCCAAAGAAGCCCAGTGCGGCCGTGTAGATGATGAAGCCAGCTCGCCAGGCCGCCGCCGGCTCTGGCCACTGCATGTGGCAGGTGCTCATGCCCCGGGGCACACCTGAGAAGACCACCACGGGCAGCACCACCACGGCCGAGGCCACCCACACGGCCGCACTGACCAGGCGGGCCACCGGGGCCGTGCGCCAGCGAGCCGAGCGCGTGGGATGCACCACCGCCAGGTAGCGGTCCACGCTCATGACCGTGAGGCAGAAGATGCTGGTGAACTGGTTGATGCCATCCACAGCCATGACCAGGCGGCACATGAGGGAGCCAAAGGGCCAGTAGGACAGGGCATTCTGGGCAGCCAGGAAGGGCAGCCCCAGCATGAAGAGCTCATCGCCAATGCCAGGTTGAGGATGTAGACGCTGGTGACCGATGGGCTGGCCGTGTGCCGCAGGACCACGTAGATGACCAGTGAGTTGCCCAGCAGGCCTACCACACACACCACCAGGTAGACCAGCGGGATCAGAATGCTGCTGATGGCGAGCCCTCCCGGGCTTAGGCCCACAGACGTGTTTCCCAGGGTGGCATCCAGGGACCAGGCAGAGGAGGCATTCCAGGGTTCCAAGGTGGTAGACACTGATGAGGGATAGTCAGGGGTGTCCATGGCCAAGGGGGAGTTGGTCAGCACTCAGCTACTGGCCTGAAGGAGGGAGGATACAGCTCAGTCATGCCAGAGGACGGCTTTCTCTGTGCCACCCCTCCCCCATCACCTTGACCTTGAAGACCTACTGCATGCCAGCTCAGAGCTTCCCGAACCATCTCCTGCACTCTGCACGGCCCAGCCAGGTGAGGTGGTGCTGGCCCCATTTCTCAAAAGAGAAACTGAGTCTTAGGGACTCGGGTAACATGAGTGATCTTTATCACCTAGTCATAATTGTTTCACAATAAATAATACTTGCCTTTTCTGCGTATATCACACCACTGAGGGGGCCTGGATAAGTGGATAACGCTCCTCACCCCCAGGTCTCAGCCCAAACACTTGAAAAACACTGCTTCCTTCTATTATTGTAGCAGTGGGATGTATTTTTTTGGCAGTGCTGGTGTTTGAACTCAGGGCCTCATGCTTACTGGCAGGTGCTCTACCACTTGAGCCACTCTGCCAGCCCCAAACACTACTTCTTATCTTAGGTCCTCAACCTAGAGCCGGGTCCCTAGGTGAACGTCAAAGGATCCACAAACCCCAAACTCCAGGCAAAAGTTTATGTGTTCAGATCTTTTTGGCAGAGCCTAGAGCTGTCACTGGATTCCCAAATTCCAAGCAGAGCAAAGAGCCATAGGTTCCAGGGTGTCTCCTTTTTGGGAGTGGGCACAGCTCCCTCAGCCTGGCCACCCCACTGAGCCCCCAATCAAAGGCCCTGCCCAGAAGGGTGGCCATGAAAGTGGGTGTGGGAGGCCTGAGCCCCTCCCCCCTGCAGGCGAAATCTCTAGTGCACACGTGCTGAGAGGACACACCAGATGGGGCTCCACGCTGAACAAGAGCACCCCAGCAGCTCTGCAGGAGCCGGTGTCCCCATGTCGCTGCGTGCCTGGTCAGCTCTCTCTTGACACAGCTATCCTGTGTCTAAAGCAGCTGGGACTCAGCTGGGCTTCCCTAACCATGGGGACTGCCTGGCCCATTTTCTGCTGTCTCCCACCTGTCACTTCACACAAGCACATGCTCCACATCAGCATGTGAGGCACAGGATGAATCAGAGCTGCCCGGAGTGGGCACTTCTCCACACAGGGGGGACTGCAGAGCACAGCTGCAGCCCGAGGGAAGCAAGCCCCTCCAGACTGGCCACCTTGGGTCCCCTCATGGGGACTTCTGGCTCCCAGGAGGCCCAGGCCAGGTCTGGACCTCCCGCTTCTGCCCTCCCTCCAAATGATGACCCTGCCCCATTCAGGCCTTTGGCTCCTGGCTGCCTCTGACTCCCTGATGAGAGCCCTGAGGGGCAAGAATCTCTGAGCTGGCAGAGAAGTCCTCCTTTGGCGGGAGCTTGTCCCTCTCCCAGAATGACCCTGAAGGTGGAAGGTTTCCCAGAGGGGAGGCACCCAGCTCAGAGCACACCACTGGACAGGAAGCACTCTCAGGTCTGGGTGCCAGGTGGGCGATGGCACAGGATCCCCGGGCTGCAGCTCCCCTCAGGTACCCTCCAGGCTGGCTGGGCTCCAGGCACCTTTGACGTCTTGGCAGGACTCCAGGCCTGGAGAAGCCCACAATCTGTCCTCAACCACCACACCCCATGTCCTCTTGAGAATCTGCACAGTGGGCTACAGGATCCTCTAGGATCACAGAGTGCGACAGCTGCACCTCACTGAGCTCCGACTGCTGTCAGGCTCTGAGCAAAGCCAGTTCCTGCTTCACCATACAGCACCTGGTGCTGGAGACCTTCCTGCCTGCCATCCTCGGCTACAGGTGGGAGCGAAGGGAGGCCACAGGCTCTGGCCACTCAGCTAGGAAGGGGCACATCTGGGAGGACCTTTCATGACTCCCCGACACTCCCACCTCACAGGAGAGCAGACCCGGCCAGTCTGAAGCACTTGCCTCTGTGCCCTGCTCCCCCACTGTCCTAGTCCTATGCAGAGTTCTTCTCACTGCTCATCTTGAGCTCTTAAGGACCATGGGCCCAAACCCTTAGAGTTTCAGGGATCTAGAAATAGAATTTTAAATTCTCTGAACAGAGTTGTAGGATCTCAGAGTCCTAGATTTTAAGGCTGAGTGTCCTTGAATCAGAATTCTGGAGTTGGTCCTTAGGCCAGGAACTGTGGAAAGGAGGAGCTGGCCCGTGGAGGCGGGGTGCACCCGCGTCACCCATGCACCTTGCTCGCTGCTGTGCGTAGATTCTGTTTATAGCAGCCCCGCTGGGCAGCCAATCACAGCTGCAGGCTTCAGGAGGGAGGGGACGCCAGCACCAGGAGAAGCCAGGAACAAACCTAATTTCCAGGCTTCAGGGACAGATGCCCTGAGGGGAAGCCCTGGGGTGAGCTCTGAGGACAGCTCTCCAGCCCCCCCCACCACACACACACACGCGCACACACACACACACAGGTGTGCACAGCCCTGCCACACACATGCAGCAGCACAAGAGCTGGCACACGACCCTAACATATGGCCCCGCAGGAACACAGTGAGACCCTGCCCTGGGCCAGGGGATGAAACAGCTCCTCCTGGCACCTGGCCCCCTCCAAGACTCCCTTCACCCTCTCTGTCAAGTTGAACAGAAGCCAGAGTTGGAATCCACAGCTTTCCCTAAGGGTAAGCCAAACCCGCAATTTAGGTGCTGCCTTTTCTTTAGGAAGTTGGAACCCTGAACACGATCTAGTTCATCTCGTGGGGGGGACTTCCTCCCTGTCTGGTTTATCTTTGGCACAAGCTTGCCTGAAAGCCGGGGGCGGACTCCTGGGAGGACTGTTCAGGAGGGGGAAGAAGCACAGAGAGAGTAAGTAGCTGCCCCAAGACACACAGCAATAAAGGACAGCCCCTCAGTCATGCCACACACCCCAGTGACTCTCATTTGCCTGTCACCCAACCCACACCCTTCTAGTGCACTGACTTTCAGCACCTAGCATAGCACCCAGAACTCAGTAAGTACTAAGAAAACTTCAGCAAATAGAGCTCCGAGGTAATGAAGTTCCCAGGAGGGGGCCTCATGCTCACATGGAGAAGTCTTCAGGAAGCCAGGAGAAAGGCAGAGGGAAGAAGAAGTTGAGGCTCAGAGAAGTTAAGTAACTTTCACAAGGTCACTCAGCTGGTGAGTGGGAAGCCAGAATTCAAACCCAGTTCTGTCTATCAAACCACATGGCTGCTCCAAAGGCCTCAGACTGGGAGGAATCAAAAGCCAGCAGATCAGGACATAGCAGGCCGATGGCCTCAGGCCATTTCTGCATTCTGCTCCCCTGAGACTTCCTCTACAGCGACCCAGATTACACTGGTCAGCTCTGACTGGCTCACCCACACCCAGGCTTGGGGTCAGACCCCCAGCAGCAACCCTTCTGGCTCTGGGATGGAGGTTTGGGCTCTGATACAGAGGGGTGATGCCAATTGCTATGTGACCTTGGACAAGTCACTTCTCCTCTCTGGATAGTTTCTTCCTATCAACATGAAGACATGTATACCCATCCCCCAGGGTTACAAAGATTAAGTGGGAGTGTGCGGAATACCAGCACCCAGCACAGAGGGGGAGCTCGGGAGAACTGCCACCTGCACCCTGGGGGCCAAACAGCACAGCGCACCTGGTTTCATCCAGCTCTGACTTTCTGCTGTGCTTAGCCTCCAAGATTCTAGAATCATGGCACAAGATTTGGAGATTAATACTCCCAGCTCGGTGGCTGGAAAGCCATCCTCTGCCAGCCCCCTGGGCCCAGCCTCTCAAGTTCATCCGGGGCGGAGGAGGGGACCAGGCACCCCACCCTCCCGGGCCCTCCGGGGTCCAGGCTCCTTACCTGCCCACGGGGTGAGGCCATCCCTCCTTGCCGACAGGCATGAATGATATCATGCTGCTGCCCCTTGCCCTGCCCAGTTCCCGGGGAGCCCCAGAGCACTGGTAGCTGGGATGCCCACCAGCACCCACTTCTCCAGCGCTTTCCGGCTTAGGCTCCCTCCTAGGCCCTCAGTGGCCACGTCTGCCCACAGAGCCTCTCCCATCTGGTCTCCAGCCCTGACTTCCCACGGGTGCCTGGTGCGTCACCCCCCATCTCCAGGACACATGGGGGGAACAGGGGTACAGATGAGGGTCTGCAGGCAGGGTGCAGGATGAAGGTGCAGGGAGAAGCTTCCCGAGATGAAGAGAGAGGAAAGGGAACAGGGGAGTGTGAGAAGCCAACAGAAAATGAGGAAGGGGGGTCGGAGGGAGAGAGAGAGAGAGAGAGAGAGGGAGAGGGAGAGGGAGAGGAGACAGTGAGTGGGTGGAAAGCCAGAATGAGGGGGAGTAGGGAGTAATGAGAAATGCGTGACAAGGAGAAGAAAAGGAGGAGGAAAAAGAGAGAGAAGGGACGAGAGGGAGAGAGGCAGAGAGAGGCAGGAACAGAGTGAGGAAGGAAGAAGGAGAATGAGGGGGTGGCAGGGACAGTGACAGAGAAGGATTGTGCCACAGATGGTGACATGGAGAGCCAGCAGGGGTGGGGGGGGACGGGGAGTGGAGGGGCGGGCTGGGCTGGAGGGGCGCTGGTTAGGGGAGGAGGCAGGAGGGGACAGGGAGGAAGGGGACCGACCCTGTTACCGGGGAGATTTCAGCCACCCACGCTGGCCTTGGCTTCTTCGGGGAGTTGATGAGGAGAGTGGTGCTCAGGGGACCGGAGGGGCCACCAGCCAGCAGCAGGACGCCCCCCAACCCAAGTGACACATGTCCCCCTGGACGACAGCTGTGTCCCCGATGCAAGACCAGGTGTGGGGCTGAGCAGCACTGAGCAGGAGGAGGGAGGGCAGGACGCACTGAGCTGGGAGTCTGCAGTCCCATCCTGCAGTGGGATCGGCTGGACGATGGCGGGTGGTTGGGGAGGAGTGATCGGTTGGATGTGGACAGCAGCAGCAGAGTGACAAGTGGAGGGACATGGGAGAGAATAGGTATTTTAGACTTTGAGAGCCAAGAGACAAAATCAAAGATGTCATGCAGTGAGAGAATAAATCTGTACACTTCTAGTTGACAAAATTCAAAATATAGTAATTACAATTGAGGACAATTTTTCCTAATACACTTCTACTAATGAGAAAAATAGAGCTCTTTGGGGGGGTGGATAATATTTTACTTAATTGGAATACAAGGTTAGTCTCTCCCATCATCAAATCAATTGCAAGGAGTCCTCTGTACAAACCATTCTCATCTCCGTAGGCTATACAAACCCACGAGCCACCTTTGGCCTGTGGCCATATTTGCCCAAGGGTGATCTAAGATGCCCTTGTCCTGAAGGTCCGAGCA